GGCTTGATTATGGCTTTTTGTTGATGAAGTTCAAATTCTCGCATCCTTTTCCTAATTATGTTCGGAGAGAACATCGGCAGATGTTTCCCATGAATGGTCTTAATGGGCATATTATATTAATCCTTGTTTACAGCACAATGCACGTAAACATAAAGTTTTGATCAGCAAATTTGCGCAAAGTAGGAAATTATCTGGATATCAAAATGGTCAGATTTAGCCCAAATCTGGCCTCTTTTCCTTCAAAAAACGGAATTAAAATGAATGGCCCTCTGTGTCCCAATTCACTTTAATAAACACAAATAAGAACACCAAATGCATGATATACTTCTCGCTCAAATTTCGACCGTGATATTTCATGAGTTAGGTCACTTACTGTAGACGCGACACCGCTGCGTACACTGCTAACGATAGACTTCATCACCTAGAGCGCTCTACCCACCATCAGCATAGGAAGAAATTTGGTTAACAAAAGTTAACGAAGTAACTCCTTCGTAGGGTTACCCAGCTTCGTTTCATGTCGGCAATAATTTCAACCCAATGCTCTGGCCTTTCAGGCCAGGGCACTGCTAAATAATATCCGCTAAGACAGACTAAACTGACTATGGCTCACTCAGGCTCGTACTGATGGATTGAAAAGCGACTATGTAAATTTAAATAAAATCGGTCTGACGCAGTAGTTTAATCTATAGACAGGAAAACATACTCAGCTGGTTAATCCTCTTCTTCAGGCTGCCTACTTCGGTTTCGGATACAGAAACTCGGCTTAGTGCTAATTAGCCCATCAACCTAGATGTTCGTTCATATAAAATATGAATTTCTCTCACATAGGAATTTCTCCAAACTTCCTTTCTCTTCACTTGTCTCCCTCCACCAATAAAGACAGCGGGCAAGCAGTTCTGACCCAATGAGCCAGCAAAGCAAGATAAAACTTTGCAGACTGTTTGGATAACTGCATTTTAACAATTTGCCTTTCTTACTACACACAGTCCTTGAATTGAGACAGTCTGGGAGAACAGGGTTTTGTTTTCAGTCTCAAGAGCCACTGCGAGGGTACTTAAAATAATAAACATTCGTCGGCGCAAAAGCCACCGTCTGCAAGCGACCACACTATATTCCGTTTGGCACGCGCAAAGGATACGCGATATCGCCCGGGCTTGTTTCCAGTGGTCAGAAGATGCAGCAGCAGCAGCAGCAGCAGCAGCAGCAGCAGCAGCAGCAGCAGCAGCAGCAGCAGCAGCAGCAGCAGCAGCAGCAGCAGCAGCAGCAGCAGTAGCAACAACAACAACGTCAGTAGCCGAAGCTCTATCGACAAAACGTTTTTTTACTACACAGACAATTATCAACTTCCGCTGGGTCTGAATTCTGAACCCTTCCACTCGCTTTCTTTTATGAAAACCAACTAACCTCCCTCCTCGCAGATCGCATACGTTCGTGTGTGCGTGCATGCAGAGAGGAAGAGAGAGTGGGACCGGTAGTGGAGAGGAACCCATCCTCGCGGTAAATTAACGCATGCATCATGATAAAAACTCTGGAGCTTTTAAATCGATCGGGACGCGCTAAAGTTATAGCTTTAATTTCCACCATCTGACGGGATAAATCTCCCCTCCTCAGAACTGAGGCTCAGGCTGAAGCTCCTCCCTCCTAATGTGGTCTTATACCAATCTTGATTGTGTGAATTTCAGGACAGCCTCCCCACCAGGCCCTCCTTGCTGCCTGGCCCGCGTGGGACGGGAACCGGCTCGTGTGTGGCACGCGTAGACGGGCTGTTTGGATTTGTTAGTTTCTGCGCTGGCGCGCATCTCCCTTGGTCTCGACTATGTCTTCTCCTCAGAGAAGGGTGGGGGAAGTGAGTGAGGCAGGTGAAAGACACGTGCCTCTCGCTAGTAAAAAATTCGCGCGCGCGCGCTAGTCATAGCTGTTGCGCCCCCCTCTCGTTGGGCGGCAATGGACGTCAGCACTCGCGACAGTCAAACTACCGTGGTGCCTGAAGTTAATTAAGACCTCCACACCTGAGTGCACACATGAACCTGCGCCTGCCTTAATTACAGCAGTCCTTCTCTGGACGCAACGCTATTGGCTTAATCAGTGCACATACTCCTAATTATTAAAACATCAGCCAGAATGACGCACGGTTTAGGCGTGCTAATTGGATGTCGCAGACGCGACGCGGCACGGGGTTTTCGAGAATGCCTGTGTTGGAATATCCTGTCAGTTTGTAGACTAAACTTGTCCGGGGAAAAAAATAAACTTATCAAGCTCCCCTCATCTAATTTTTAGTCGGAAATCATGTAGCCACTCACCTTGCCAAATTCAGCCATTACTCGAGCTCATAGGAGTAACTCTTTGGGTTTGAATGTACCTAAACTAGTGACAAGTACTCCAGTATTACGCGCAGGACCCAGGAGTCACTTAGTTATCTGTACTGACACCATCGCGTGTGGTATTCAATGCCAATCAGCGCTCGTAGCAGTACTGCAAAAAAACATGGAGTCTCTTTCGTAGCAGGTCGCCAGTATGGTCTTCTGTTACGTGCAGGATTTATTCAAGTTGGCGTAGGATCTTTGCTGATATGGTAACGTGATCACTTTTCGTCCGTCCTTTCAGACTCAAACTTCACTCCTGACCAAGGCACTTGCTGCTGCCATGGTTTGCAATGAAAGTGCCTTCTGAAGTAACCAAGAACTAGAGGAGGCCTGTTGTTGTGAATTTTACTTAAAATTTTATGGGATTTATGGAGTGTCGTTGGCGGCGGGGGGGGGGGAGGATCAAATATTCAGTGGCACTGTAACTCCAGCTTTGTCGAAGCGACGGGATAGATGTTGCACAACTTCACACTGACGTTGATATCACACCGCCAACACACTGAGGGTAATTTTCAAATACAAAGATGTAGCATAGACAACACCATCTACGCGATGGATTGACGACCCTCAGCTAAACACATGTGGGAACCTGGTGGGTGCTTTTACGTCGTCCCATCCCACGCCCAGCTCTTATCTGTGACTCCACAAAGCCACGCTTAGCATGACGACCCCAGCCCAGCAAACCATTCTGACCGGTGAATTAAGCCAGATGAGTGTGTCGGCCGTGTGTATGTGTGTGTTTGCGCTCCGATGCCCCTAAAATGAGTCCCGCGACTGATATGCTGGACCAACAGAGGGACTACAGTGAGTGACCGATCTCCTGGAATGTCGGCCGAAATTCCGAACTGCGTCTTCGATTAGGAAGGATTACTTAGATGGGGTTGTAATATTGATCATCGTGCAGCATAATCCTATCGTATTTCGGACTTGCCGGGAGGGCCACTTTTGAATACACTTCTTTTCGACCTCCTGCAGAAATCGCATTCGGTAAATAATGAATACTTATGTAGAGTGCATTTTTCACATTAACTCTCGATGGTCTTATACATTTAAATATACTTTATAGAACACATGCACAAAAATAAATATAATTTCAAAATATGTCTTTTTACCTGTTTGGTACAAAATCACATTGGCTTTACATTTTATACTATAAGAAAGGCTATCTTTCGGTTTTAAAAGTTTCTAATTATGAGATCTTTAAAACCGTGCAATGTCCATACATACAGTATCGCACATGTCCGTTTACTAATGCTCCCCGTAAGACGTACAACACAGTTCTCATCTATTGCAAAATTCTACGAACTCTATATGGTACCTACTCAAATTCATAGAGGAATATATGATTTTCCTTACGTGGAAAGCATACGCATTGTAGACTGAAATCGCCAAAAGACAATGCAGCGGCCGTTTAGGCTCGAAGTCATTCGGGAATTGGGGACCTTTTTAACACCTAAATATACACTTTCTCCGGGTATGGAATGTGAAGACAATGTGATTTTCTACCAAATGAGTAAAAGAAAGCATATTTTTTGCATGTTTTCTATAAAATATACTTGAATGTATATGACCATCGAAAATCAATGTGAAAAATGCATGCTACTCAATTAGGCATTTTTTACCAAGTGCATCAGAAGTCCACATCCTGGCGTTTTCGTTTCGAAATGATTAATTAAGTAGGGTTGTAAAACTAGCCAGCCTGCAACATAATAATATGATATTACCGTTACCTCAGGATGTTGGCATTCGCATGAACTTATTTTCCGCTGCATGCAGAAACTATACTTTGGAAAAATGACTACTTAATTAGCATGAATTTTTTTCGTAACTTTTGATGTGCCTAAAAGTCCAATTATATTTCATGGAAAAAATGCATAAAAATATTCATTCGCTCATTTGGTAGATAATTAGGTCTTCTTCCAACCTTATGCCCGAAGGAAAGGTAACCCGCACAGCGGCGCAGGATATATAGGCAGAATGGTATTACCGACAAAGACAAGGAAGACTGGAATGGCCATTTCTGGCTTATTAGCCGTCGTCAGCCAGCCATACCCAAGCCAAAAGTGTGAAACACCCGAGCCTCGAACACGCGACCTGTTGGTTTAGAAGTCCACGCCTCTACCCATCGGGCCACGAGCCCGTTGCCCTGTCGGTTTTCGATCGGGAATATACAATGGTAGGGGGCGCTCACCGATCATACCATTCTGCCTATATATCCTGCGCCGCTGTGCGGCTGCTGGTTGGGCTCGAGAGAGAGCCCGTAAGGCACAACGGAATGAGTGAGTTCCGTATGAACGATCGGTGAGCGCCCCCTACCATTGTATATTCCCGATCGAAAACCGACAGGGCAACGGGCTCGTGGCCCGATGGGTAGAGACGTGGACTTCTAAACCAACAGGTCGCGTGTTCGAGGCTCGGGTGTTTCACACTTTGGGCTTGGGTATGGCTGGCTGACGACGGCTAATAAGCCAGAAATGGCCATTCCAGTCTCCCTTGTCTTTGTCGGTAATACCATTCTGATTCGGGAAGCCAATGGATCGGTGTGCGCCCATTCCTGAGTGAATAAATACCCGATCTGCAGCGACCGAGAATGACAGGTGGCGAGGCACTAATGAACTTCGGTTCGATGAAGTGCTTATGACCCATCTGGTAGACCCCAGTGGTGGACCAGCTGCGCCAGGTGCGTCTGTGCGCATGTTCGTGTTTCCGGTCCCAGCTGGTGGTTAGGGTTATGGTTGGCTGAATGAAGGCAAACGAGCCCGAAACAGTGCTGTATCAATCTACCCCCCAGACTCTGTCGTATCCGCTCTGCTATCATAGCTTGGCCGACTTCGACCTGGTAGGTGGTTGCCTGTTCGTGACCCCTATCGCCCATACGAAGTTTGTTTGCTTCGGGAAGCCAATGGATCGGTGTGCGCCCATTCCTGAGTGAATATATATATTTCGAAAGAAATAAGCTCTTTGGGAAAGATTAACAAGTTTTATTGTAAATTTTCGATCTTGGTTCCCCAAGTCCTCTTCAGACGTGAAGTAAGTGTGCAAAACAGTCAACATTTAAACATGCCGAAAAAATTGATTTTGCCTTGTCATTCCTGCTGGTGCATCGTTCTGATTGGTTAATGCCTTTTCCACTTTTCCTTGAGGCTGTTGTACACCGCATCTAATTCTACGTATCGGTTGATGCATGAATTATCAGAATGGATGGCCTCTAAAAATTCACGGCCCTTTTTAGATGAACATTTACATTCAGCCCTATCTCCTCCAGCAAACATGTGCTCGCTGTTTCCATTGCAATCGTGACAGACGAAACGTGCCATGCAGCTTGGTGCACGTGGCAGCATAAGGTCGTGCGTGGCACATCACTGCAATCCTCACGACAGTAAATCTGACGGGTTTGAATGTACTACGGCGCGACAAAAGCCGTGGCTTGGAAGTTTGCGAACTGACGGAATAATTCGGTCCTCCGTAGGACCGCGACTCAGCCTGTAATGACTTTTTCAATGTGGTCTTTGTGAGACTCCCACCGATCAGAAGGTCGAGTCGCCCTTACTGGCATACCCTGAGGGGACCAGATCATGAACGTGGCACGCGTAGACAGGTTCTTTAGGTCCGTCAGTCACTGCACCAGCGTCCATCCCTGATGGTCTTGACTCTTTGCTGTTACCAGAGCAGAGTGCAGAACTCATGAAACACTGATTAACATTATTAGATTAGATTGGGAATCCGGGAGACCGCTTCAACGAGGCTTCGGCAATGACTGGCATGAGATGCAACCGCAGGCTGATTCATGCGTCGCAACAGGGCAGTTTTTAGTTGAGAGCCCTAGCAGCCACCTGCGGCTTCTTGACGCTCATGATACAATGCAAAAGAAATGGATCACTGGAATGGAAGCACAGTGACTTAACTGGAATTTCCAATCAGTTTATCTATCGTGGATAGGTGACTGCCTACCAAACTGCGCAAATACCTAAAGAAATACCACAAAGGCAATATTTTGTAAAGGCTAACGTATGCTCTTCCCCCGACATTTCGACTGTCGTTGTCGATGGTGTTCACCGTGTGATCCACAACAAGGTGACTTGTGCGCGATTTAGTTTCTAGTGAATGTAGGCTTGCACAGCATCTACCGCACTCTCTCCTCCCCCACCTGGACCCGGTGTCAAGATAGAGTCAAGAAAACCGGAGGCGGGGGAGGGCGCAGTTGAATGGCACGGTCGAGCCTGTACCTTGTCGCTCCACTCCACACCCCCTGGTCCACACAACAGATTACCAGGTTTTCGACCAACAACAACAACAATGGGGGGAGGGCGACAGGGGTCCCAGCGTGCGCGACGTCTGCCGGTTACCGACTGTGCCGCCGCAACCCGAAATGTCGGAATTCGTTATGGTGGGCATTCCGATAACGCCTGCCAGAATCCGATATGGCCCGCGTGTTGGTCCAGCGTATCTACCTAGTGGCTCGTTTGGGGGAGCAAGAGAGATGTCAACAACGCCCCGATATTCCCAGCCGGCCACCCATGCAAGTACTAACCGGACCCAACGTACTTCGGTGATTGGACGAGAACCGGTGCTTTCTACGTGGTATGGTCGTTGACACTCTTCCCCGAAATATAACAATCAAACAGAGTGGAATTCCCCGAAAAACTAATGTAAGAAGTAAAGTTTCAGCATACCCTTCGAGGATTGTTGCGTCTACTTGGAAAGGCCAGTATCCTTCCGCCCAATCTGCTCGAAAAAAATCTGCCAAAAAACGTCAACAGGAAGATATTACATGCATGGAAACAAAGTTTCACCGTGCCTGTCTTTCCGGATGCTTGCAGACGCCTGTGCTTAGAGGTCGACTGTCAAACTGCTTGTCTATCAAATGTGTGACCTGTGTATACACGAGCGTGAGACAGTTTGATCCAATCTGTGGGCTCACCCTGTTCGTGTTTTTCCATCCGCTTTGGGATTAAGGGTTCGCCTTAAGGAGGTCTAGGTAACCAATGGCATCGCATAGCGATCACAAGTCTCTGACATAATAACTATTCGGCAAAGCGGCGGCATGAGCTCACGCAAATAAGCCGTTTCACAGGCCTCCTTGAAGGGGAGACGCAATTGCCGGCATGAACTGTTAGCGGTCAGATGTTAGAGTGGAATTTGCCTCAGTCTGGTTGAGGCAGCACCACAAGTACGGCGCGTGCGAGGCAGGGTGGAGGGCGTTCGACTAGGTGCCTGGCCGGCCATAACGTCCGACCTCATATCCTGCCTTCCTGGGCGTAGAACACGAGAGGAGGAGGAGGGGGGGGGGGAGGAGACGGCCGAGTAAGGCCAATGTTACGAAGGCCACCTCGCTGGTAATTCGGAGCACGCGAAAGTTGCTGCTGCCTCAAACCCCCACCTCCCTGTTCCGCCCTGCTGGTTCTCGTCGATCGCGATGGACGACGACTCGCTGAACTGCCGTGTGCAGTGGGGCATTTTTAGCAGTGTGTGTCTGTGCGTGTGTGTATGCGTGTGTTCATCTACCACTGCCTGGGTAAGCGTGTGTCTCTCCGGCGTTCCTGGTTAGCCAGGCACTCGAGAGCTAACCTCTGTTATGATACACCGAATAGGGTTAAAAATGGAAACGACAAAGATTCACATCTGCGAACTGTTTGTCTACACCGCTGAGGGCTTGGTAGTTTTAAACTGACGACCGAAGCGAGTAAGGAGCTCGTCTTTGGTGACTCGGTGGTCAACCAGCGGACAAGCATTTCGACTTCTGGTCCGGACTCAAAGTTAATTTTTGCACTGAAACGAAGATCCTGTCGGTAGCAAAAACTTGATTGTCTTCTAGTCCGAGCAAAGACATCAGACAGAATGGTATTGCCGTGAAAGACAAGAGAGACTGGAATGGCCGCTTCTGGCTTACTAGGCGTCGTCGGCCAGTCGTACCCGACCCCGAAGTGTGGAACATCTGGGGCTCGAAGTCGCGAGCTGTTAGTTAGAAGTCCAATGCCTCTTTCTGTATCCTGATCCTGGTCAGATGTGGTTATGTAGACCCACCTAAAGTAAACAAACTCCAGCCACTTTTAATGTGGGAGCGGTGGTAGTGGGGGTTTTTACAGGTGGAGTCGGGGAACGCACAGGCGACAAGGTCAGGTAAGTGTATTCAAAGAAGAGCTATTGGGAATTCACGGTTATACTTTGAGTGGTTGAATAATAGTTGCCCTAACCCTAAGCCCTAACCCCACCCCTAACCCTTAACCTAAGCCCTAAACCCTAACCCTGAAACATCCAGTGCGAAAGTTAGAAAGTCAAGAAGGACCACCGGTATTGGTCCAAAAAATAGACACGACAACAAAGAAACAAGGCCGCCAATAGAACACACACCGCAACGCACAGAAACTCTATGTCATCGTAATCACACCCCCTCGAAATACTTAAATAGGTCAACCGTATTGTGCCCATCAGGTGCGGCTACATAACCACAGTTTACTCATTCATTCGTGCTTGCAGAAGTTGGCCGGTTTCTCCAACGTAATTGCACACCCCGCAGCCGCACTGAAGGCGGTGGACAACGGCCAAATTCACTTCTTTAGGGTTTGAATAGTCAAAATCGTCATTCGAAACGTCAGACCCAAAATAAACCATTCCTGATGAACGACCCTTTTTCTTTTGACCGCCCAAATGGAAATCGCATTTTCTTTTCCACTGATATCGCTTTTTCCCTGCTTTACAAGGTTGAGGAAAATTATGCCCTTGCCCAGCGGTGTGGTTTCCCTGGGCTCGGCTGATGCGTCCTTTTGGAATGAACCATCGGTTGTGTGTAGTCACTCAAAGATGAGGATATTGGGCCCCTAAACGAGCGCGCTCTGTCGATCACTGCAGTGCTAAATCTCGTGTTGGTGGCTGTGTGGAAAGCGCACCGTTTTATAAAGTTAAAGGCATTTTTCAGTTCAATCCCCTAGTTCCATTCCGGAAGATCTGCTTAGATTTCCATAGGGCAAAATAATGAATGTCGGCAGACGCCAAAGCACTTTTCCTCATAATATTCTTCTCTTTGTACGTCGAAACCGGGGTGTAGAGGTGTCAGCGGTGGGTTCACGTAATGGTCGTGGTGGTCGCTCACTTGCTTACAGGTGAGACTGCGCCTAGCGTCCATTTGCTGGCACTCAACTCTCACCTGTGGCTCCACGTAGCTGGACTCTGCACAGCGGCCACACCCCGGGCAACCGTGTCGACCGGCCGGCTAAACCAGGTGAGGGGGCCCTGTGCGCTGTGCCGTGTGCACAGGGTTTGCGGATTCCGCTGGATGGAAGGTCGGGTGGAACCTTGCGTCGGCACCATCGTGACGTGGTTCGTCTCTGCACGCCGCTGGACAGCCGGTGACGGGATGGATCTCCACATCGACATCGCCTTGACGCGCCCACCTACGCCGTCGGAGACTGCGGCCTACGGCGAATTCGAGTCGCTCTCCACCACAGCCTGAAGTCGTGTTCCCATAGTGGAGTTCGGCCGTGCCACAACGGCACATGGCAGCCCTATTAAGGGATGGCACTGCCAGCCCCCACGAGGGAAGGGCCTCGAAAAGCTGGCCTAAACATTGCTGGGTACCACGCCGTCTCCAGGCTAGCCAGGGCTGCAGACATCTTATCATGGTCGAAACAATCAAAATCGAAACAACAACAATACCAATAACAACAACAACCATACTCATTCTCCTCATCCTACCTCTTCTTCCTCTTCCTCTGCCTATTCTTCTCCTTCGTCACCTTCTTCTCCATCTCCTTCCCGTCGCCCCACTCGCTGTCACCAGACTGACAGGGTGAGCCCGCTCACTCTGGCAGCCTGGAATGTTCGTTCCCTTTTAGACAATCCGAGGAGCAACCGACCGGAACGGAGGACGGCGCTTGTGGCACGAGAACTGGCGTGCTACAAGGTGAACATCGCCGCACTCAGCGAGACCCGATTCTCCGAACAAGGCCAACTGGAGGAGGTGGGTACCGGCTACACCTTCTTCTGGAGCGGTCGACCCAGGGCAGAGCGACGGGACGCGGGTGTCGCCTTCGCCATTCGGAACGACATCGTGAGACGACTGCCCTGTTTGCCGCAGGGCATCAACGATCGCCTGATGATCCTCCGTCTGCCTCTCCGGGGTGGGGGCAAAGTCGCCACCATCATCAGCGCCTACGCTCCGACGATGACCAACCCCGACGCCGTCAGAGACAAATTCTACGAGGACCTGCACGCCCTCATGGCGACTGTGTCGAAGGCGGACAAGTTGATTGTCCTTGGTGACTTCAACGCCCGCGTCGGCACGGACCATACTGCCTGGAAAGGAGTGCTGGGTCCCCACGGTCTCCGCGGCTCAAACGACAATGGTCTGCTGCTTCTCCGCACCTGCGCAGAACACCGCCTCATCCTGACGAACACGTTCTTCTGTCTGCCGGAGCGAGAGAAGGCCACCTGGAGGCATCCTCGGTCGCGCCAGTGGCACCTACTGGACTATGTCCTCGTCTGGAGGCGAGATCAGCGGGACGTGCTGGTGACGAAGGCGATCGCAAGTCCGACCATCGTCTCGTCATCTCGAAGATGCGTATTCGTCTACAGCCTCGCAGGAGACCTCAAGGTAAGCGACCCCCAGGTAAGCTGAATGTTGCCTTGTTGTCTTTGCCCGCTCACCATCTTCATTTCAGCAATGAGCTAGCTCAACGGCTAGACAACCTCCCCATCGCCGATGCCACCGCTGCCGAGAACGCCTCCGTGGAGAACCGCTGGTGTCAACTGCGAGACACGGTCCAGTGGACGGCGCTCGCCGTCCTCGGTCGCGCTCCCCGCCAACACCAGGACTTGTTCGACGACAACGACGCCGCCATCAGAAATCTGCTTGCTGAGAAGAACCGCCTACACAAAGCCTACGTAGATCACCCCACTGATGCCAGCAAAGTTGCCTTCTACCGCAGTCGCCGACAGCTTCAGCAACGACTGCGCGAGATGCAGGACGCCTGGACTGCTCGCAAAGCTGAGGAGATCCAAGGGTACGCGGACCGCAACGAATGGAAGAACTTCTTCTCCGCGATCAAAGCTGTCTACGGTCCGCCGACGAAGGGCACCGCTCATCTCCTCAGCGCCGACGGCAACACTCTCCTGACTGAGAAGACGCAAATCCTGCAGCGATGGGCCGAGCATTTCCGAGGCGTCCTCAACCGCCCCTCCGTCATCTCCGACGCCGCCATCGAGCGTTTGCCGCAAGTGGAGACCAACGTGGACCTCGACCTCCCGCCATCTCTCCAGGAGACCATCAGGGCCGTGCAACAGCTCTCCAGCGGGAAAGCACCCGGATCGGACGCAATCCCTGCCGAGGTCTACAAGCACGGAGGTCCCCAACTCATGGATCACCTGACTGCGCTCTTCCAGGAGATGTGGCGTCAAGGTGAAGTCCCGCAAGATTTCAAGGACGTAACAATCGTGCACCTATACAAGCGCAAAGGGAATCGCCAAGTCTGCGACAATCACCGTGGCATCTCCTTGCTGAACATCGCCGGGAAGATCTTCGCTCGCATCCTTCTCAACCGCCTCAATAACCACCTGGAATAGGGCCTTCTGCCGGAAAGCCAATGCGCCTTCCGTCGTCATCGTGGGACCACGGATATGATCTTCGCCGCCCGCCAACTTCAGGAGAAGTGTCAGGAGATGCGGACCCACCCGTACTCTACCTTCGTGGACCTGACGAAAGTCTTCGACACGGTGAATCGTGAAGGACTGTGGAAGATCATGCAGAAATTCGGCTGTCCGGAGCGATTCACTCAGATGGTGCGTCAGCTGCACGACGGTATGATGGCGCGAGTCACGGACAACGGAGCTGCCTCAGAGGCATTCGCAGTGACCAATGGAGTGAAGCAGGGATGCGTGCTGGCGCCTACCCTCTTCAGTCTTATGTTCTCTGCCATGCTGATGGACGCCTACCGCGACGAACGCCCCTGGATCCGCATCGCCTACAGGACGGACGGCCACCTGCTAAATCAACGGCGGATGCACTTACAATCGCGCGTATCCACAACCACTGTTCACGAACTCCTCTTCGCCGACGACTGCACCCTGAACACCACCTCGGAAGAGGAGATGCAACGGAGCATGGACCTGTTCTCCGCCGCCTGCGAGAACTTCGGTCTGGTCATTACCACGCAGAAGACGGTGTGACGCACCAACCGCCACCCAACTCAGCCACAGCCCCCAACGCGCCGCCACAAATCAGCGTGAACTGAACCCAACTGCAGGTGGTGGAGAACTTCCCGTACCTGGGCAGTACTCTCTCCCGTAACACCAATATCGATGACGAAATCACCCGTAGGATTTCGAAAGCCAGTCAAGCCTTCGGTCGCCTCCAAAGCACAGTTTGGAATCGTCACGGTCTTCAATTGAGCACGAAGCTGAAAATGTACAAGGCCGTCATCCTGCCTACACTACTGTATGGAGCGGAGACTTGAACGGTGTACGCAAAGCAGGCACGTCGTCAGAACCACTTCCAGCTCAGTTGTCTTCGTCGCATCCTGAGGCTTAAGTGACAGGATCGAATCCCCGAAACTGATGTGCTGGAACGGACGGGAATCCTCAGCATCTACGCCATACTGAGGCAAATTCAGCTGCGTTGGAGCGGCCACCTGGTGCGCATGGACGACGAGCGACTACCCAAACGACTCTTCTACTGAGACGTCGCGACGGGTTCTCGCCGTCAAAGAGGCCAGATTCGCCGTAACAAGGATACCCTGAAGTCCTCCCTGAAATGCCTGCAAATCAACCCAACCAACTGGGAGTAGCTCGCACTCGATCGACCGACCTGGAGGAGGACATTGAAGACAGGCGCTGTGATATACGAAGCCAACCGCATCGCTGCCGCCAAAGCGAAACGTGAAGCCCGCAAATCACAACTTCGCCCAGTAAGCAACGCCGCCGCACAACCGCTTCCAACGTGTCCTCGATGTCAACGGACATTCTGGGCTCGAATCGGACTTG